CAGGAATAAATAAAAATAGAAACAGAGTAATTACTAGAAATGAAATTGAATGAGTAATTAAAAAAAAATTCCCAATAAACAGAAGTCCAGGACTGGGTGACTTCACTGATAAATTTCTATCAAACATTTAAAGGAAAGTTAACATCTATCCTTCTCAAACTATTCCCCCCAAGCTGAAGAGTGTTTTCACACTCTTATCAGCGGACTTTGCAGACCAGGAAGGAATGATAGGATATATTCAATGTTCAATATTCAATTCTGAGGCCAGCATCACCCATAGATGAAAACCAGAGAAGGACACTACCGAAAAAAAGTAAATCACAGGTCAATATCAGTCATGAATATAGATGCAAAAACCCTTAACAAAAGAGTAGTTAACTGAATTCAACAATACATTAAAAGAACCATACACCATGATCAAATGGGATTTAGCTCACCAATGCAGGAATGATTCAATATATGCAAATCAACAAGTGATTAGCAGAACAAAGGATAAAAATCACATGATGATCCTCATACCTCCAGCAAAAGTATTTGGCAAACTTTTGTATCAACAAAATTCAAAATATGATTTATGATAAAAACTCTCAGTGTGGGTATAAAGGCAACATAGCTTTTATACTAAAGGGCATTTATGACAAATCAGAGCTACTATCACACTCAGTGGTAAAAAGCTGAAAGAAATTCCTCTAAGAACAGGAGCAAGACAAGGATGCCTACGCTCAGCACTTTCATTCAACACAGTATTAACAGTGCTAGTGATAGTGAAAAAACAAAATTAAAAACTTGGATCTAATTTCTAAGGGAAGTAAAACTGTCACTGTATGCAGATGACATGATAACATGTAGAGAAAACCCTGAAGTTTTCACCAACAAATAATTAGCATAAATTCAGAAAGTTGGAAATACACACAATGAATACATAGAAATAAGTTATCTTTCTCTGTACTAATAACTATCAGAGAACTTACGGAAAAAAAAAGTGATTGTATCAAAAGTAATACAATACCTCAGAATAAACTTAACCACAGAGGTGAAAGATTTATATACTGAAAGTATAAGACATTGATAAAGGAAATTAAAGGTGACATAAATAAATGAAAAGATATCATATCCTATGCTCTTGGATTGGAAAAATTAGTCTTTTTAAAATAGCCTTATTACTCAAAGCAATGTACAGATTTAAAGCAATCCCAATCAAAATACCCATGACATTTTTCACAGAACTAGGACAAATGATCCTAAAATAAATACAGAGCGGCAAAATACCCACACTGCCAAAGCAATCCTGAGGAAGAAGACCCAAGCTGGGGATAGCACGCCCCCAGCTGTGTGAATGCAGCGAAACAGGCCTCTTGCTTTCTCGGCCATCCAGCATGCTGAATTATGAGCTGGTTTCATGATTGGGGGCTGGGAAGAAGACTCATAGGATTCCCCTAAGACACTAATGTGGCACAGATGCTACTAACTGTATCACGGGCTCCATGAAGAAGCCCATCCACGAGTCAACAGGGACGCTTCACTCAAACAGCCTCCAAACTGGCCAGAGGACGCCCTCGGTACTCCACACACCCCACCACCACAAATCCTCACAGTTTTGTGGTCAGTTCCCATGTGCTCTCCCCACCAAGGCCCTGAGAGCCAGCTCTGGGCAACAGCTTGAGAACACACCCAGAAAGCTGGGTCACATCTGCAGGACAGAGACAGATCGTAAGTTTCTGCAGTAGCACCATCCTTAGGAGAAGAAAGAGGGTCTGTTGGCACCCAGCCTATTGTGCTGCAAGATCAAAAGACGGTATACAAGCTCAAGAATTCTGCCAAAAGATGTGATAAGAAATGTGAAACAGGTTTATCCATAAAGGCCTGAGAAAGCCTAGAAATCCCTCTCTAATTCTAGAGGGCTGACAGAGGGTGTTTGCTTCCTGAAGACAATTAGTAAACCCTGGAGCAGGTGGCTGCTACTTCGGAAGTGAATATAGTAGCACAAACCCCACAGGAACGTTAAAAAAAAATGTAATCTAACAATAATAAATGATTTCACAAGTCTTCCAGTTATCAACCCCAAAGACTTAGAAATCATCAATCTACCTAATTAATAACTTTAAAAAGCTGTTATAAGAGATCTCAGTAAGCTACAAGGAAAGACAGAAAAAGAGTTCAATAAAATCAGAAAAAGAAAAAAAGGAAGAAAAGAGCAGAAAAACACAACAGACAAAAACTGTAAAAAAGAACCACAAAACATTCTGGAACTAAAATGAAATGAAAAATGCCAGAGAAAACTGGATACTTATGACAGCATTTTAACCAGCATGCAGGTAAAAGGACATATGTTGTGAAATAAAAAACATAGAAGAATAAAAGAATGGAACACTTACAGGCATGCAAAGATCAGTTTCTGTCAGCATAAAATGGACTGTTTTAACTTTGGGATGTTTTCTGTATGCCCTATGGTAGCCACAAAGCAAAGCTCTTTAGTAGAATCACAAACAGTAAAAAAAAAAAAAAAAAAGCAAGCATAGCGCAACAACTTGGTAAATCACTGATTTACAGAGATAGATAGGCACAGAGGGGGAAAAGAAACAATGGGTTAACAAAACAGAAAGCAATTAATAACATGTCAGTCATAAGTCCTTACATGTCAAAAATCACTCTAAATGTAAACAGATTGAATTCACAAATCAAAGCCATAGCGTGGCTGGCTGGATAAAAAAAAAAATAAGGCCTAATTATAGTCTGCATATAAGACACTCATTTCAGCTCTAAGAACACAAATAGGCTCAAAGTAAGAGGATGGATGACTATATTTCATGCGAGTGGAAGCCAAATAGTGTGGAGGTAGCCATACTTAAATCAGATAAAACAGACTTTAAGTCAAAACCAACAGTAAAAGAAGCTGATTTTATCATGATACAAGGATTAATACATCAAGAAGATATAAATGAAAAGTCAACCCTCAGGATGGGAGAGAATATTTGCAAATGAAGCAACTGACAGGGATTAATCTCCAAAATACACAAATAGCTCATGCAGCTCAATTAAAAAAAAAATCCCATAAAAAATTGGGTGGAAGATCTAAATAGACATTTCTCCAAAGACATATGGATAGCTAAAAAACACATAAAAAGATGTTTAACATTATTAATTATTAAAGAAATACTAGTCAAAACTAAACAGTACAATGAGGTATCACTTCATAGCAGTCAGAATGCCCATCATCAAAAAATCTCCCAACAGTAAATGCTAGGTAGAGTGTGGAGAAAAGGGAACCCTCCTACACTGCTGGTGGGAATGTAAACTGGTACAGCCACTTCTGAGAACAGGATGGAGTTTCCTTAAAAAATAAAAATTGGAGCTACCATCAGTTTAGTTCAGTCACTCAATCGTGTCCGACTCTGTGACCCCATGGCCTGCAGCACGCCAGGCCTCCCTGTCCATCACCAACTTCCGGAGTTCACCCAAACTCATGTCCATTGAGTCAGTGATGTGATCCAACCATCTCATTCTCTGCCATCCCTTTCTCCCACCTTCAATCTTTCCCAGCATCAGAGCTACCACATAATCCAGCAATTCCACTCCTGGGTATATATCCAGAGAAAATCATAACTTAAAGAGACACATGCACCCCATTGTTCATAGCAGCACTATTTACAACAGCTGGGACATGGAAGCAACCTAAATGTCCATCAACAGGGGAATGGATAAAGAAGATTTGGTACATACTGTGGAGTCCCATATTGAGGTCACAGGTGTGAGGCGTTGAACCAAGGCCACAGATGCGGAGCCCAGCACTGAGGTCATCTCCGGAACTGACTGAACTCTACAGAAACCATTGCTAAGCGCTCCCCCCATCATCCTTACCAACCAGTTCCCTGACCCCACATTAGGTAAAAATACCCACCCCAGTACTCGCCCAATAGTGCCCTAACCAATCACCTAATGCCACCCTTCCAGCAAGAATGTTCTGTCTTGAGGCCATAAAACTTGGCTACTGGCCCACAAAGGGCCTCCGTGGTGGCTCAGATGGTAAAGAATCTGCCTGCAGTGCAGAAGACCCAGGTTCAATCCCTAGGTTGGGAAGATCCCCTGGAGAAGGGAATGGCAACCCACTCCAGAATTCTAGCCTGGAGAATTCCATGGACAGAGGATCCTGGCAGGCTATAGTCCATGGGATCGAAAAGAGTCAGACACGACTCAGCGTCTTTCACTCAAGTTCAAGCCCACGAAAGCATCGGCTCTCCTTTGAGCCCGCTGACTGTTCTAACCCCTTCTCCCTCTCTATTCTCCCTTCGGTCGGCGCTCCCTGATCTGTCGGGAAATCGGCCTGACCGTGCTTGCAGTGCCTTATTATCTCTGCTATTTGTTCTTAATAAACACACTCCTTTCTGAAATACTCCATGTCTGGAGATCCTTTTCCAACCCTTGCACAGACCACAGCACATATATACAATGGAAGATTACTCAGCCATAAAAAAGAATGAAATGATGCCATTTGCAGCAACGTGGATAGAACTAGAGACTGTCATATTGAGTGAAGTCAGAGAAAGGCAAATATCATATTGCTTATGAGTGTAATATAAAAAAATGGGTACAAACGAATTTATCTACAAAACAAACAGAATTACAGATGTAGAAATCAAACACCGCTATTGGGGTTAAGGTGGGGGAGGGATAAGTTGGGAAATTGAAAATGACCTATACACACTTCTATATTACTATATGTAAACTAGATAATAAGGACCAACTGTAAAGGATGGGGAAACCTATTCAGTAGTCTGTAATGGCCTATAAGAGAATAAGAATCTAAAAAAGAATGGATATATGCAGATGTATAATTGATTGTTATACACCTGAAGCTAATACAACATTGTAGATCAACTAGATTAGGAAAAAATATATAAGATCAAACTATATGCTGCCTATCAGAGATTGACTTCAGTGTTAAACACACAAATTAGGCTCAAAGTGAAGCTTTAGAACAAAACATGCCATACAAGTAGCAACTAAAGGAAGGCAGTGGTAGCAAGAATTACACCAGACAGGGCAGACTCTACGCCAAAAGCTGCAACAAGAAAAAAAATTAAGGTCATTATATGATAGGAGAAGGGCAGGATGGCGGAGTAGAAGGATGTGTGTTCACCTCCTGCGAGAACTCCAAAATGACAACTCACTGCTGAACAACCATCGACAGGAAGATGCTGAATCTCACCAAAAAAAGATACCCCACATCCAAGGGCAAAGGAGAAGCCCCAGCAAGAAGGTAGGAGGGGCGAAATCGCATTTAGACTCAAACCCCATAACCACCAGAGACGCTCAGAGAGCTCGGACAAACCCTTATCTGCACCAGGAGCCAGAGACCACACAGAGACTGAGCCAGACCTGGTTTGAGTCTACTACTGTGGGGAAGAATCCTTTAGAAGAAATGGAGTAACCATCACAGTCAACAAGAGTCCAAAATGCAGTACTTGGGTGCAATCTCAAAAATGACAGGATGATCTCTGTTCGTTTCCCAGGTAAACCATTCAGTATCACAGTAATGCAAGCCTATGCCCCAACCACTAATGCTGAAGAAGCTGAATGGTTCAGTGAAGACCTACAAGACCTTCTAGAACTAAGACCCAAAAAAGATGTCCTTTTCATCATAGGGGACTGGAATGCAAAGGCAGGCAGTCAAGAGGTACCTGGAGTAACAGGCAAATTCGGCCTTGGAGTACAAAATGAAGAGGGCAAAGGCTAACAGAGTTTTGCCAAGAGAATGCACTGGTCATAGTAAACACCCTCTTCCAACAACACAAGAGAAGACTCTACACATGGACATCACCAGATGGTCAATATCAAAATCAGATTGATTATATTCTTTGCAGGCGAAGATGGAGAAGCTCTATGCAGTCAGCAAAAACAAGACTGGGAGCTGACTGTGGCTCAGATCATGAACCCCTTATTGCCAAATTCAGACTTAAATTGAAGAATGTAGGGAAAACCACTTGACCATTCAGGTGTGACCTAAATCAAATCCCTTACGATTATATGAAAGTGACACATAGACTCAAGGGATTACATCTGACAGACAGACTGCCTGAAGAACTATGGACGGAAGTTTGTGACATTGTACAGGAGGCAGTGATCAAGACCATCCCCAAGAAAAAGAAATGCAACAAGGCAAAATGGTTGTCTGAGGAGGCCTTACAAATAGCTGAGAAGTGAAAGGCAAAGGAGAAAAGGGAAGATAAACCCATCTGAATGCAGAGTTCCAAAGAATAGCAAGGAGAGATAAGAAAGCCTTCCTCAGTGATCAATGCAAAGAAATAGAGGAAGACAACAGAATGGGAAAGACTAGAAATCTCTTCAAGAAACTTAGAGATACCAAGGGAACATTTCATGCAAAGATGGGCACAATGAAGGACAGGAATGGTATGGACCTAACAGAAGCAGAAGATATTAAGAAGAGGTGGGAACAATACACAGAACTATACAAAAAAGATCTTCATGCCCCAGATAACCACAATGGTGTGATCACTCACCTAGAGCCAGACATCCTGGAATGAAAAGTCAAGTGGGCCTTAGGAAGCATCACTACGAACAAAGCTAGTGGAGGTGATGGAATTCCAGTTGAGCTATTTCAAACCCTAAAAGATGCTGCTGTGAAAGTGCTGCACTCAATATGCCAGCAAATTTGGAAAACTCAGCACTGGCCACAGGACTGGAAAAGGTCAGTTTTCATTCCAATCCCAAAGAAAGGCAATCCCAAAGAATGTTCAAACTACCGCACAATTGCACTCATCTCACATGCTAGCAAAGTAATGCTCAAAATTCTCCAAGTCAGGCTTCAACAGCATGTGAACTGTGAATGTCCAGATGTTCAAGCTGGTTTTAGAAAAGGCAGAGGAACCAGAGATCAAATTGCCAACATCCAATGGATCATCAAAAAAGCAAGAGAGATCCAGAAAAACATCTACTTCTGCTTTATTGATTATGCCAAAGCCTTTGACTGTGTAGCTCACAACAAACTGTGGAAAATTCGTTTTAAGAGATGAGAATACCAGACCTCCTTACCTGCCTCCTGAGAAATCTGTATGCAGGTCAACAAGCAACAGTTAGAACTGCACATGGATCTACAGACTGGTTCCAAACTGGGAAAGGAGTACATCAAGGCTGTGTATTGTCACCCTGCTTATTTAACTTACATGCAGAGTACATCATGAGAAATGCCAGGCTGGATGAAGCACAAGCTGGAATCAAGATTGCTGGGAGAAATACCAATAACCTCAGATACGCAGATGATACCACTCTTATGGCAGAAAGTGAAGAGGAACTGAAGAACCTCTTGATGAAAGTGAAAGCGGAGAGTGAAAAAGCTGGCTTAAAACTCAACATTCAGAAAAGAAAGATCATGGCATCTGGTCCCATCACTTCATGGCAAATAGATGGGGAAACAATGGAAACAGTGACAGACTTTATTTTCTTGGGCTCCAAAATCACTGAAGATGTGACTGCAGCCATGAAATTAAGACACTTGCTCCTTGGAAGTAAAGCTATGACAAACCAAGACAGCATATTAAAAAGCAGGGACATTACTTTGCCAACAAAGGCCTATCTAGTCAAAGCTATGGTTTTTCCGGTAGTCGTGTATGGATGTGAGAGTTGGACTATAAACAAGGCTGAGCGCCGAAGAATTGATGCTTCTGAACTGTGGTGTTGGAGAAGGCTCTTGAGAGTCCTTTGGAGTCCAAGGAGATCAAACCAGTGAATCCTAAAGGAAATCAGTCCTGAATATTCATCAGAAGGACTGATGCTGAAGTTGATGAAGTTTGGCCACCTGATGTGAAGAACTGAGTCCTTGGAAAAGACCCTGATACTGGAAAAGACTGAAGGCAGGAGGAGAAGGGGATGACAGAGGATGGATGGTTGGATGGCAACACTGACTTGATGGACATGAGTTTGAGCAAGCTTCGGGAGTTGGTGATGGACAGGGAAGCCTGGAGTGCTGCAGTCCATGGGGTCAGAGAGAGTCAGGTGTGACTGAACGACTGAACTGAACTGAAATAATGATAATGTTGTCAATTCATCAAGATGACAAACAAACAAATATGCACTCACCAGTGTTACTGTGTTAAGCAAATACTAACATATTTGAAGAGAGACACAGACAATAGAAAAAAAGTGTTTGGGGTCTTTAATACCCAACTTTCCACAGTGAATAGATCATCCAGAGAGTACGTCAGTGAGGGAGTACTAAACTTGAATTATACGTCAGACCAAATGGACTCAACAGGCAAAAAATAGCAGTTCATCCGATAGCAGCAAAATTCTTCTCAACTGCTCGCTGAACATTTCCAGGACAGATCAAGTGATGGTCCAGTAAACAAATCTTAGCAAATTTAAGAAGGCTGATATCATACTAATTATTAGTGAGTCTGTTATACACACACACACACACACATTTTTTCCATTGTGGTTTATCATAGGATATTGAATATAATTCTCTGTGCTATACAGTACCACCTTGCTGTTTACCTATTCTATACATAAAAGCTTGCATTTGCTAACCCCAACCTCCCACTCCATCCCACCCTGAACCCCTCCTCCTTGGCAACCCCCAGTCAGGTCTTCATGTCCATGATTCTGTTTCTGGTTCATATAGAGGTTCATCTGTGTCATATTTTAGATCTCACATATAAGTGATATCATATAGTATTTTGCTTACTTACATGCTAACCACAATGGTAAGAAACCAGAAATGAACAGGACAGAGACTAGAAAGTTTACAAATATGTAAAAATTGAACAACATGATCCTAAAAAATCTATAGGCCAAATAAAAAATTAAAAAAATAAAAAGATTGAATCATGAAGAAGTAAAACAATCTGAACAGACCAAATTACTATTATGGACCCTGAAACAGTGCTCAAAAATCTTCCAACAAATAATACCAGGACTATATGGCTTCACTGGTGATTTCTACCAAGCTTTTTTTTTCCCCTCTATCAAACAGTCACAGAAGAATTCACATTAATTATTTTCACCTGGGTAAATCTTGTCACTCTCTTTGTGGATGATACACTTTACATTTTACAAATACACTAGGGGACACATATGCACAATGATATCAAAAAAGTTAGAACTCTTGGTTCTGAATCTTTAAGGTCTTTGAAAATATTTATCAATTGAGTTCAACTGTATTTCAGAAATTTAACATGACTGCGCATACATTAAAAATATGATTCTTGTAAACTGTTTAGAAAATACAAAGAAGTGATAAGGAAGAATATCACTGGCTGTTACAAGAGTGTGGAGAGTAATGGAAACCTACAAGAACAAGCCTGGACTGATTAAAACCTCCACTTGAAAAGCCAGTATCTTTAATAAACAGAGGTGACTGTTCATTTTGTTTGCAGTGAAGTTGTTTGCACTGCAGTTTTGGTTGAAAATAAACCAATGGCAACAATGGAGGGTGGATTAGCATTTTGTGCTGGGAATGGACAGAAGCCTTTAAAAATGATGTTATGACTACATATTGATGATTCACAAAGGAAATTGTGATGTTAATAAAGCATATTGTAACTGAATCAGCAGATCAGCATTTTTTGTTTATTGTGTGTCTGTGTGTGTGTTATGAATTGTGGTGCAACTTACATATTTATATTTCCTCAATTCTCTGAAGTATACTGATTAAGAGAAAAATTAGACAAAACATATATACTTTTTCAAATATTCTTTGAGAATACAGAATCTTTAAAATTTTTTTATTTTTAAAAATTAAAAAAAGTAATGCAATTTTAAAGGTTACTTCCCATTTATGGTTATAAAATATTGCTATTTCCCCCATGTTGTATACCATACCCTTGAGCCTATCTTTTTTTCTTGGCTGTGGCAGGGCTTAGTTGCAGCATGTGGGATCTAGTTTCCTACCAGGGATCAAACTTAGGCCTCCTGATTGGAAGCATGGGAGTCTTAGCCACTGGATCACCGGGGAAGTCCCCCATGAGCCCATCTTGCAGCCGATAATGTGAACCTCTCACCCTGCAACCCTATGCTGCCCCTCCCACCTCCCTACTGATCACCACTGGTTTGTCCTGTGTGTCTGTGAGTTTGTTTTTTCTCTAGCTATAGTCACTCATTTGTTATAATTTTCAAACAGTATTTGCCTTTCTCTGACTTACTTCACTTAGAACAATGCTCTCCAAGGCCATCCATGTTGCTGCAAATGGCAAAATTTCTTTTTTTCCACTGTTAGGTAGTATTGCATTGTGTGTGTGTGTGTCAATACACATCTTCTTTATTCATTCATCTGTTGATAGATACTTAGGTTGGTTATATATCTTGGCAATTGTAAATACTGCTACTATAAACATTGGGGTACATCTATCTTTTTGAAATAGTGTTTTGGCTTTTTCTTCAATATATATCCAGGAGTGGAATCACTAGGCCATACAGTAGTTTATTTTTAACTTTTTTGAAACTTTAGTATATCCCAATAAGTCTCTCATACTCCACATGCCAGTATATTTAAAATTTTAAGTGATTTTTAAAACAGCCTTTTAAAAAAATGTTTTTTTGGCTGCGTGGGTTGCAGGACCTTAGTACCAGGGACTGAACCTGATTCATGGCAGTGAAAGCACTAAGTCCTAATCACTGGACTGCCAGGAAATTCCCAGACCAATCAGACCTTAAAATAAGGACTTTTAAAAGAGACAAAGGAGGACATTACATAATGATCAAAGGATCAATCCAAGAAGAAAATACAACAATTTAAAGTATTTATGCACCCAACATAGAAGCACCAAAATACATAAAGCAAGTATTAACTAACATAAGGGAGAGATTGACAGTAACAATAAAAGTACGGACCTTTGACACCTCACTTATAACACTGGACAGGTCACCCAGACAGAAAAATCAATGAGGAAACATCGGCCTTAAATGACACATTACACCAGATGGATATATACTCCTATCTATCTATATAGATATAGATATGTATGCATCAGTCGCTCAGTTGCATCCGATTCTTTGCAACCCCATGGACCATAGCCCACCAGGCTCCTCTGTCCACGGAATTTCCCAGGCAAGAATACTGGAGTGGGTTACCATTTTCCTCTTCCGGGGGATTTTCCCCACCCAGCCATGGAACCTGTGTCTCCTGTATTGCAGGCAGATTCTTTACCTGCTGTGCCATCAGAGAATACCATATATAAATGAGCTATTTAAAAAGGCTTCCAAAAAATGAAAGTTCAGGAGCAGATGGCTTCACAAGTGAATTCTGCCAAACATTTAGAGAAGAATTAACACCTATTCTTTTCAAACTATTCCCCCAAATTGCAGAGTCAGGAATTATAGGGTTGGGGGAAATGATGCAGGACACTTGGTAACTGAAGACTGGAACATCTGAGGGCATCAGACACACAGACATGAGAAATGGGCTGAAGTCCCTGGAATGACGGGAAGGCAAAGGGCAGAGGAGGAGGAAACAAAAGATAAAAGGCTTGGGGGAGCAGAAGGGGAGGAGGGCTGGGCTGAGAGTTGGCGATCAGGGGATAGAGGTGTCATGGAGATAAAGGTCTTAAATGCACAGGATGGGTGTGGGAGCGAAGGAAAGAGGCAGAGAAGGGGAAGCATTAGTTCCAGAGATATCTGAAGGTCACAGGCAGAGAGAGTGAGGTCCATGAGGAGCAGAGAATGAAGGAGGAGAGGGATGGAGGTGGGTGATGGTAGTTGCAGCAGGTAGATTGGGGGTCACTAATTTTTTCTATTCACTAATCCCATGACTTGCATTTAAATCATAACCTGTGAATAGTTTCTAGTTTTAGACCTTGAGGTAATAACCTTACTGACATAAAATACTTGTGATGATCCTTTCAACTGAATACACTGTTAAAGATTAGAGAACAAATGAGCACACAATGACACAGTATTTGTTCTCTCCTCAGGGACACCAGGTGCAAGGTATGACCATGGAAGCGTGACACAGAAACCACCAGAAGGAAACGGATTCTGCCTAGCACCTGAATGGTCCTGGCAGTGGACTCTGTCTTGGAAGCTGCAGATAAGAACCTAGGCCTCATGAGCCCCTCCTCATTGACCTTCTAAGACCCTAAACAGAAAGCCCAGCCAAGACTGCTAGATTTCTAACTTATGAACTGTAGAGTGTTCTTTAAACTTCGAAATGCATGGGCCACATATTAAGGCAGTGATAGAAAATGACTACCCAGAGGAAGAAATTTAATCATAAAGTAATACACATTATGAAATATTTAATAAAATCAAGTAAAAATGTCCATGAATTAACCCCCCGCCCCGGGAAGTAATAAAATGTTATCTCCAGATGTTCTATTGTCAGTTCTAAGTATATCCTCATTGCTATGCAATTTCCATGTGTCACAAACTGCTTTTGAATTTGTATAGTACACATCCACACACACACCACCGCTAAAATAGTATGTACATGGTTCAACACTGACACATATATTGTCAAATCAAACTTTCTGTCAGTGAAATTGCTTTCCTTTACCAATGATGTTTGAAGGTGATACTTTCACACCAGTAGAAATGGATCTCCTGCATTCCCACACAGTGTCTTATTCCACGGTAGTTATGAATAAAACGACTTAACCAAAACGCTTCGCAGTTATGCATTTACATAGCTGCACATGTTCTTTTTCCTGCTGTCACAGACATGGATCTTTGGTTTCTACACATGTGGCTTATCTGGTGAAATTATTGCACCAACATGCCTGTGCATTTCTCTGTTAGGTGGACAACTGCTAAGTTACCTTGCAAATGGATGAGAAGTGTAATATTCGGCCTACTGCGTTCCCACTGTGATTAAACAAGGAGGCCACTAGGCTGAGGTGACTCACGCTTTGGTAGCCTATTTAAGCACACAAAGCTTAATCCTGAGTCAAGGCACGTTAACCTGAGAAAATAAATTAAGAGCAGCCAATCACACCCAGCCAACTAGGCTTTCCAAGACCAAGGTAACTGGGTAAGATACAATCAAATAGTATCCTTGCTTTCATTTGGCATCTTCTCTGGAAAAACTGGACTTCCCTCAGACGGTAAAGCGTCTGCCTACAATGCGGGAGACCCGGATCCAATCCCTGGGTCGGGAAGATCTCCTGGAGAAGGAAATAGCAACCCACTCCAGTATTCCTGCCTAGAAAATCCCATGGATGGAGGAGCCTGGTAGGCTACAGTCCATGGGGTCGCAAAGAGTTGGTCACGCCTGAGCGACTTCACTTTCCACTTTCCTTTCCTAGAAAAACCTGTCCCCTAGTTCCTGCGGATAAAGTGCTCTTAACCACCTTTGACTTGAGGCTGCTGGAGCTGAAAAGAGGTAGGTTCAGATTAACTCTTGGAAACCGGAAATGGGCAGATATTAACATTCTAACTCACAGTGCCGCATTTCACACGGACCATACTCCTCTTCTAGTCCCCGAACACCTCGTTCAGGTGCCCGGGGGCTGAGGACCCTCACTGCAGTCTCTCCCTGCTCCTCCAGGCCCCCTCACTCATGCCAACCTCTCACCAGCTCCTCTGTGCCCTACCATCAAAGGCTTCGCCCTCGACAGTAACATCACTCCGACTGCCTTATCCGTCTCCCACCACATGCCGAACAGCTCATGGAAGACTTCTGGCACACGACAGCCCCTCCCGGGGCCAAGACATCCAGTCATGGGCTCCTCCCTTCCCCAGCCCTGGGCGCAAGACCACCAGTCCTGAATCCCATTTTAATGAAGCCCACACACCTCAGCCTGCAGTTAAGGCAAGCTGGTATCACAGTGGGTAGCACAGACCACTTCTCCCTCTGATCTGTGGTTACCCCTCCAAGGTTTTTGACAGCCTTTCTCTTTTTGCCTTTTATCTCAAACCTCCACACAGGCACACACAGGGAACCCGGGTGAAACTCATGGTGACTTGAATCTAGTACCGCTAACAATGCATCTGCCCCAAGAGCAGACTGGAATCAGGGGCGCTGGTCACCCAGGATCAGTCTCACCTCGAGAGTAGCCCATTTGATGGCCCAGATTCCTGTTTATTTGAGGCTTAACATTGCGGGCACAGCTCTGCTGCTCCAGAGTTTCCATGCAGAATATAGTCCCTCTTTCAAAATCAGACTTGCAGAGCCTAATAGGAAATGTTGTTCAGATTCCGTTTAAAATGATCACTTAAACGACCAAAAAAGGAAAAAATGTCCTGCCATGGACATGTCGGCCCCCATTCCTTGGTCATCCTTCTCAGAGCAGCTCAGAGACCAGAGCTCCTAGCAACCTTTGTGAATGGATCTGGCATTTCCGGTTTTTGATGCTGAGACTCAGACAGATTAAGGAGAGCAAAGGACTTGAAATTTGGTGGGTGGGTTTTATCTTTATTATCCATGATATGGAAAGAGAAGAAACAAAGATAATCTCTATTCCCACGAAGGCAAGCCTGACATCTAAATCCTTCTGGTAAAGATGAACACAGAACACCCAGTTCCCAGCACTGAATACCCAGTCCCCAACACTGAAGACGCCATCCCCAACACTGAAGACTCCATTCCCAGCAGATTACAACAATCAGCTCTCATAATGTGTGGATCTTAGCACAATGTCTTTAACACATACATGTGAGCACGCAGTAGATCCTCACAAAACATTCCTTTCATGAATGAGTACATGTTGTTCTCCCACTGTTCAGACTCCACTGCTTTCTCCAGTCCCTACTCATTTTGCAAGTGGTGAGCAGAGAATGTCATCTTTTCAGAAGCTGGTGGTGGTCTTCACTGGGAACAGCAGTATTTGTGTTCAGATAGGGTGGTTGTGTGTAAGGCACTCAGGCCCTGTTTTTGATTTCTCTAGATTAATGCTGCCGGGAATGAGGTCTGGGGGAAGCAACTTCATTGATTGCTCAAATTGCAAATTAATGACCCAGACTTGGAGAGTCATAACCTCTGAGTGTTAGGCCCCCAGTATGTTTTTAATGGGATCCAAAAGTGATTCATATAGATGGGAAATTCTGATGAGCAATGTTCACCAAAGTCATTTTCACCTTTGACTCTCTATTGGGATTATTTCTGTTATTTTTTAGAGCCCTACCATCCTCTGTGTTGTAGCCCCAGAGCTTTTGTCAAGAAGTCGTAGGTAGGGCCCAGGATCAATGATATCTTAATGAAGTGGCCCAGGTTATTCTATCGTGAGGCTGGGTAAACACTGGGAGGCTTCCAGATTCATTTCTGAGGACCCAGTGGAGGGTCTGGGCCCTGGGGAAGCCTGCTCCACACAGAGGTGAATGGGGAACAGTCAGTCTGTCTCACGTTCCCGGTGTTGTAGTGGAATGTGCAGGTGTCTCTAGGAGACAAGGGAGGAGAAACTCACACAAACTCCATAAAGGAACTCTGTAAATGCACAGATTTTCCCAGGTCCCCAAAAGCAATGGAAGGAGAGTTAGAACATACCTCACTGGGCATGGGGAAGCCTTTGGTTCTCACTCCGATCGCCATGGAAGATCACCAGAGCAAAAGGAAAACACTTAGAGGATTTAGGCGCATGATACAGGTGAAGCAGGAGAGGTACCTCTGTGACAGCAGGACACAGAAACCTGGACTTCTCACAGTGATTCCCATTGAAGCAGAGTTTCCCAAACAGCATTTTAAGGCCTTGCTTCCTCCTTCGCCTTTGGACATCACCTCTGTGTGATCTGCTTTATTCATCCCCACCTACCTGGGTGCATGACTGTTACCTCCTTTTCTTCACATCCCAGGGCTCTTCTTTGCTCAAAAAAAGGTGACCAGGTTCAACTTAGAGACAGCAAGACCTACTTATTTAAAAAAAAAAAAAAAAAAAGGAACATATTACTCATCCTGGGGTTTCTACAATTTCCAACCCAATAGGGCTCAGGAGAGAGGACACTATGTAACCAGCAAGAGTTAATTTTAAATTTACACTGGATCTGCTTCAGTGACTTTAACCCTTTTTTATTATAAACGTACATAATGGCCTGCCTCAGGGAGATAACCTGAGCTGCCCACCAGTGAAGGAATGTAAGGAAGTGAAACTAACACATTCGCCTGCCTGAGGTTTGCCATTCTAGGAGACCTTTGCAAGGATTTAATAGTCTTTTTACTTTGTTTCCTCACCTCCCCCCATCTCCAATCCACAAATAACCTAGCAACCAGGCCCTGACAAGATGGTTATTATAAGGCACTAGCCTGCCATCTTCTCCGTCAGCCAGCTCCCAAATAAAGTCCCTTCTTGATCCCAACACCTCTGAGCAGAGTGAGCTTGGACTCTGGTAACGGCTATAAGTTATACAAAAGGACTTCACCAAATAGTATTTCCTGACAGCCTCTTTAAAACACTTAGGAAGCATTTCTCATTTGCAGATCCTTAACTCTACTTCCAAGTACTACTCAATCAAAAGTAAGGAATGGGTATCTGATTTTAAGATGTGGGCAATAATATCTTATTTTATTTTAAATATCCAGAATGACTGCTCATCTAGAGTGAAAGATGCAGATGGACTCAAGAAGTGAGGACAAGATGAAACATCATGAAGATTTTTTTTCACATAGACAAATCATTATTTTCTTGAAATGATTTCATTTTTCATTTGTGCTGATTATATTACATCATTTTAAGATACTTGAATATATACTATAGAACTTGCTTTTTTTCCCCCCTGGAGAAACAAAAAGTAAGAAACAAGAAAATAACTGAAATGATAACAGAATTGAAGGAAATTTACAGGGACTTCCCTGGTGGTCCAGTGGCTAAGACCGTGCTTTCCCAATACAGGGGGTTCACATTCAATCCCTGGTCAGGCAACTAGATTCCATATGTAACTAAGTGTTCGCGTGTCACAACTAAAGATTCCGCGAGGTGCAAGGAAGACCCAGCACAGCCCAAATAAATAAATAAATAAATGTATAAATAAATACAAATTTTTTAATTAGAAAAAGGAAATTTACAGAACACTTACCAACAAAAGCCTGAACAAAGATGGGTGGCTTCATTTCCAAAGAAATCTGCAGGCAAGGGTAATGAAGTAGACAAGGACAATTCACATGAAATGTGATGGTTCACGCACAGTTCTCAGCAGACCCCTCCAAGACCCTGTTAATGATAATTGGAAAATTATTATCTTTTCAGTCGAGGAATCTGGCCAACTGCCCCTGATTCAAGTGAACAAAATTAACATCAGCTGTGCTGGGACAAATTGCTATCAGCTGCCTGCATGCAGGACTCATCGCCATTGCTGGGACAGTTTTGCAAAAAGAAAAAAGTGAATGAAAACATTAACACCTGAAACATTAATCTGATTATGAGAACAGGGTAAAGCATAGCACATTTAAAATCACATATAACTCTGATGTCCTGTATTATATATGTTTAATAGAAAGTCTTTCCTTGAGGCAACTGAGAGCTCTCTTTTTTAGAACTGCGTTATTTCTAGGCCATATAGCAATCAGTTTTATTGGAGCATTTTTGTTATCCTTGTCTATATAGACCAGGAGTCCCCAACCTCTAGGGTCTGATGCCTAATTATTTGAGGTGGAATGGATAGAATAATAATAGAACTAAAGTGCACAATAAATGTAATGAACTTGAATCATCCGGAAACCATCCCCTGTCCCCAATCCATGGAAAAATGGTCTTCCATGAAATCAGTTCCTGGTGCCAAAAAAGGCTGGGAACCAATGACATAGACTGATGCTGAATCCAAAGAGGACCTAGATATTACATATTCTCTTCCTTCACTGATATCCCACGACCTACCTTTATATTCAAGCAGGCATCTTCTGTATCAACGCATCCCCAAGTTAATAAGAAAAAAGAGAACATTTTCAACATTTGCACATCAGTAACTCATGGCAGGAATTCATCATGCTCTAAAGGGAGTCTGGATGGAGAAAATGGAGAGAAGGCAGTGGGATATCCTAGAGACCTAACCTTGGCTATCATTAGGAGGGGAAAAAAGTATTAAAAATAAATTTGTTATGCAGGACCACCAGAGATATAGAAGTAGATGTTTACAAGGTCTGAATACATAGGACTTCAGCAAGAAAAGAGGACACGCTGCTGACCTGAATCACAAATTTTATCTGAGAACCTACCATTTCTTCCTCTTTCTCCTCCATTTCTAAGTTTCTTTCTCAGATGCTATTATCTAGAGAAATCACACCTGTACATCTTTGAAGGCATTATTAGCACAGCATTTTCACCTGCTACCTACACACTCAGGAGGCCCGTGAAATGCAAAAAGACCACGCTGCCCTATCCTTTGCCGTGTGGCACATTCAGGAAGAAATGAGCTTCTATATGGAGACCACGACGTAATATTCTCCTTCCCCATTTTCACATGCCTTTCCATCTCACAGTCAGCCACTAATGCTGCCACAGCAATGCGGAGGGTGGGGTGCACTGACGTGACCCACCCACACAGACTCTGTTGCCTTGAATCAAAGGTTGACTCAAGTCCCATGCCACAAAAATACGACAACCCTCTTGCATAATCCTGGTTTCATCTAGGAATTGCCTGGAAGACGTAATTAAAACAAATTTGTATTCTATATAAATTATGTTGGTCACCTATGTTATACAATATTGTGAATCACATACAATACTGAATGTCAACTATGTCTGTGTGTTAGTCATTCAAATCGTGTCCGACTCTGTGACCCCATGGACTGTAGCCAGCCAGGCTTCTCTGTCCCTGGGGTTCTCCAGTCAACAAGACTGGAATGGGTGGCCATTTCCTTCTCCAGGGGTTCTTCCTGACCCAGATTTGAACCTGTGTCTCCTACACGGCAGATAGATTCTTTACCACTGAGTCACAAGGGAAAAGGTCAACTATATTTTAAAAAAAATGTACTCTCGCCCAGACCAATAGAATCTGAGAGGGGTCACAGGTGATAGTGGTAATTAAAACTCTCCTAGTCAACTTTACTAGTAAGCCTAGGGTGCAAAGCACTTATGTAAATATTGCCTCTCAAAGTTTAATATGCATACAAAGCATTCTGCATCCAAGGAAGAAGAAGTGATTCCGCAGGTTTGGAGTGGGGCCCATCAACTGGCATCTTTAACAAGCTTCTTCCTTGTGTCTGCTGCTCCCCTAGACCAGTTTTTAGTAGCAGCGGAGAAAGCAGGCACACCACACCTCAGCCCCTACCACCAAACACCCTGTCTCAAGACAACTACTGTCGTCTCCACCAAAGACCACCATATCACGGTCTTGAAGGATCTCACATCTGGTTGGCACTTTAAGGTATACGGAAGCCTAGAGAAGGCTGCAACACCTGAGTAAGTTTCTGTTTGGAACACATGGATATAGTCATCAGTGCAATGACTACTGACTGTGTTTGCAAATAGGTTATAATGCACTGTTTTGGACATCTCACAGTTGTTATTACAGTTAACTTTTATGATACCTTAGGATTTTGCCACTAGGAGTCTCACAATAACCATGACGATATAGATAGAGACTCATCTATTTTTCTATTTCTCTATCATTGACTTTCATTTTTAACATTTGCATAGAATAGAGACTACCTATAGATGGCTGGAGGAATACAGAAAATAAGGCTATCTTAGAAGTTCAGAGAGTTGTTTTTAGAAATTTATTATTGTGTGTTTACTCTTTTCTTTTCTAATAGTGAAGGAGGAAACAGAATGGGGCCGGACTGTGGACTTTGAGCTATATGCCCAGTATCTATGGAAATGACATACCAACTGGAAAATCAGACACCCCCCGCCATGGAAGAGCCAGTACCTAGACTCTCTGTCACCTAAAAGAATACCATAACTATCTGTGTAACCAAATAGAATCATACATTCTATTACGCTTACTGGGGCATGACCACAGGCCTATTGAGAATTGTCCACTGTTATTAATTGACCACCTAGGCTTAAGGCATACGAATCACAGGTGAACTTTGATTGTATCTTTCTTTTCCTTTCTTCAGACTAGTTTCAGAGAATTTAGGGAGGTAGGTTTGAGCATGCACACTTAGGGTACATAAGTTTTTCATAAAAACTGGTCGGGGTCCTTGGCTAAGAGGAGACTCTGCCTTGGGCCCACCGGTGTAATAAACTGCACTCCACTATGTGCACTGTCCTGAGTGAGTTTGTTTCTTGAAACACGTGGCTACAACAATAGGGTACAAGATTTGAGTTTTTAAGTAAAAGCCAATCAGCTTTTCTGACTAGATCTATTTTTTATACCTGCATAACTCAAAGGACAGGAGTTTGAGCAAGTTCCAGGAGGTGGTGATGGAAAAGGAAGCCTGGCGTGCTGCAGTCCGTGGGGATGCAAGGAGTGACATGGGATATGACTGAGCGACTGAACTGAAGCTACACAGGGTAATTTTTATTCCTCTATGTTCTCATTAAAATTTGATGTTACCCATTCTTGTTTTATTTTTTAATTTAGGCACCCAGAAATTTGAGGTGCCATCTTTTTATTGTTTCCCTGGTGTCTAGCATAAAGAAAACGTGACATATTTACACACACACACATACTCAGTCTTACAAAAAAAGACATCCTTCCACTTCAGAGAACGTGACTGAAACGGAAAAACATTACACTAAATTGAAAAAGCGAAAGCAGAAAGGAAAATAGTGTGTCGTCTCAATTTTGTGTAGAATCTACTAAAGTCCAATTCACAGCACAGCAGGCTGTCTGGCCACTGAGGCACTTGCCAGGCTGGAAATGCCCCCAACACATGCTGTAGTCAGATCTCTGCCCCCTTTGTGAGGCGTGGCAATTTGGGGCCGAGAATACGAGCCGCGTGGTAACCAACAACCGTCACTCTGGGCATCCCCTTGCTCACCAACCCCCGTCTCATGCCCCATCCCAGAGCCAGCACGTCTCACCTGGGAGCCGCAGCCGCGTTCCGCCGGCGCTCCTGCGCCCTCTTGCGGCCATCCTCTCTAACGACCACGGCCATCCTGACCGCCCCGCCCCAGGGGTTTGCTTGGGCTAGGGCACCTTCCAGCCTGATTTCTTCCTCCTCTCCCAGGGGTTTGCTTGGGCTAGGGCACCTTCCAGCCTGATTTCTTCCTCCTCTCCCAGAGGTTTGCTTGGGCTAGGGCACCTTCCAGCCTGATTTCTTCCTCCTCTCCCTCTAAGGGCAATGAAGTCTCTACAGAGGGGCGTGTTTCTCTCTCAAAGTCTCCCGGAGCGCTCACTCACCTCTCCCTTCTTCATACTACTCCGTTCACCCTCCCGCCTCCACCTCTGGAACCCACGGGGCCAGCCCCCAGCCTCCCTCCAGCCTGGATTCTCCCCGGAGCCTGGAAAGTTCTGGGGCTGGAAGCCAGGCTCGCCAGGTCGCTGGTTGCGGGGTCATACCGGGAAGGCGAGGAAAGGATGGGGAACTGGAACTTTCAAGCCCATACACCAGTGGAAGGAGGAAGGCATCATTTTAACAGTACTTCTCAGGGGTCAGCCTGCTCCCCCACGCTATGGTGATTAATGCTCACTTGAGGCGGCAGGGACGACCTCCTAACTGTTCCCCTCGATTCCGCCAGAAGGGTATAGGGGCATCTATGATACCGCAGGTCCCGACCTCTTTTCTGGGCGGAGGCCAGCGCTCCAGGGGTCCCTTCAGTCCATCCCCGCTCCCCTGCTCTCGGGACTTGCATCTCAGAGAGGAAGGAGCGCTGAGAGATTTGGCTGAATCTAGGGACCTGCTAGCCTAGGGATGAACTTTAAGCCAGAACGCCCCAAGACGCAGTTGGAGTGAAGTGAAAGTTGCTCAGTCGTTTCCGACTCTTTGCGACCCCATGGAAGGTCCATGGAATTCTCCAGGCCAGAAGCCTCGAGTGGGTAGCCTTTCCCTTCTCCAGCGGATCTTCCCAACCCAGGGATCGAACCCAGGTCTCCAGTACTGCAGGCGGATTCTTTACCAGCTGAGCCACAGGGAAAGCCAAGACTCAACTAAACGCTATTAGAACCTCCTGTAAGAGGGGAAGGGGAGGTTAGGACGCTGAGGCCCACCTCAGCGAGTCCAGCCTCGGGGGACCCCCGCACAGCCTCTCCCGACCCCCAGCTTTCCCACCTTCAGGAGGAGGGGCGCTCCGACTTCAGCCCGGACTCTGCGCCTGCCGCTCCCCAACTCCCGTTAGGACGCGCAAGTCGGCCGCCTCCCCACCCCCGGAGGCCCGAGTCAGCAGGGCGGAGGGCACCGGCGACAGGGGGGACCGAAGTTCCCCGGACGGAGACGCGGCGCGCAGCTCTTCCTAAACGGCAGCAGCGACTGGGAGCGAACCCCGCGCGCCGCGCGCAGCAGCCGGGGACGCGCCGCAGGGGCCGGACCCACTTACCCGGCGCGCGGCCCGGAGGGCAGAGGGGTTTTCGCAGCAGCGGTGAGGCTTTGGGTGGGGTCGGGGGTCGGGGGCACGCCCTCCCCTCCTCGGCTCCGGGGCGGCCCGAGAGCCTGAAGCGACGAGAAGCCGAGACGCGCACTGAAGCTCCGTGCGAACCCCCGGGGCGGGGCGGCGCGGCCGTCGCTCAAATGCCCGGCCTCGGGGCAGCTGCCCCGGCTTAACTGGCTTCAGGTGTCCCGGCTGATGCTTGACCGCAGTGTCCTGGTATTTAGGTATTGTTCCATCCTGGATGACGCTCTTGGCCCAAAAAAGTATGGGCGGCTCAGAAGCGGGTTGAAGATTTCTATCACAATAGGTAGGACAGGGGGCCAGATAATAGACGGCTTTGTATTCCTCGAAAGCGTCTCGTCGGCTTTCATTTTTAGACATTGGCAAGTCATAGGTTTTTAAAGCACGGGTGACTTGATTTGTGGGTGTTGTCAAGAAGTATTCTGGCAGCACTGTGTAGGGTGGTAGGTGAGGAAGCTGGTGTTCGCAGGAGCGGTCTGAGGCGGGGAGGTCCACGTGGGGACCCACGCAACCCCTGCACTTGGACTGTGGAGGGACCGAGGAGGACGCATGAATTCAGTTTTTGGGTGAGGAAGAGGGAAAAATTTAGGAGGGCATCCCGATTGCACTTAGTTGATTAAATGGGAGGGAAAGCTTTTCTTTTAGATGCTTGGATTTTTTTTTTTTTAAGGTGAAGTTTTTTACATGCAGGATATTTGAGATCTTTATGGACCAAAGGAAAGGGAGATGAAGAACACGGGAGAATAGTTGGTGGTGTGGAACTGCGGACAGCTCTAATTGATGTCTAAGATTGAGGATTCTGCCAAGATGGTGGTTGAGTTGATGTACTGTGGGAAAGAAAGACTTTCTGGAAAGTCCAAGAGGAGGTGTATTTGGGGGCGGGAGCTGGGGGGGGCGGTGCGGAACACCTAATAGATACTTACTAAATGCTACTTAGGTTATATGCTTACTTAAGAGGATCTGTGATAAAACTGAATGACCTGAGAAACAGTTAGGATAACAAAAACAGCTTTAGGGTATATTTTGTCGCACTTGACTGGCTTTTTATCAGCCTGTTTGGCTCTGATGAGCGGCGATGTGTAAGTCTCCAAGGTGTTCACAGGGGTACTCACACCCTCGGAGCATTCCAGGCATTCTTGTAGGAGTGAGAAAGTGGTAAGAGAGTTAGTATTCTAAGCAGATTAATCTCTCACCTCTGATCAACTTGCAGATTTTAGTATTTTTTGTAATATTAGAAGAAAAATGGCTTAAAGCTCCCTAGACTCACTTATTTTTCAAATACTGATTATTCTTGAGCTTTGGTAAATCCTCTTTACTCTTACCTTTGGAAAATAGACTCTCCCAGCTTTCACTTCTACACCTTAGTGAGCAAATTACAATTTTGTGTGTGCTTGGTTTTCATAAAATTTGTATGACTAGCTTCCTGTGTAGTAGAAGCAAAACATATACAAAGTTTAAAAGAGAAAATTAACCAGTAATTAAGAGCATTTCATAAAACAGCTTTGTGTGTGCGTGTGTGTGTGTGTGTGTGTGTGTGTGACTGTTTCTCTTAAATGTGTTTTGACCAAATGCTGTCATGGAAAGTGTATCGTTTTTCTTAACCTGGCTATAATTTGTATGATCTATCCGCTGAAAGGGCCTAGAAGCAGTAATATGCTATTAGCAATGAGTGTACCTTGAGACAAGATCTTGGTTTCTAAAAAAAACATCTCCTGCTGAAAGGACCAGGCACTTGCGGAAATGGCTGATCCCAGGGCTGGTGAGGGAAAGTACATGTTGGAACATCTTGTTCCAGAAAGCAAGAAAGTGGTCAAACAAACAGCAAGGGCATGTCAAAGGGACGTAGGAATCAGGTTTATGGAGTTCTAATTTAATGTGTCTGGAACTACTTGATATCAAAATAAAATGCATTACAGACCTCTTAAACAGGAATCCTTATTTTAATATGTAAATCAATACATGGGTGTAAGGAGAAGCTGCTTACTGTCAACTAATAAGTTTGTTAGCATGAAAGAGAAAAATAATTTTGTAGCCATTAATGGCAGAAAGTGTTTCAGACAGTCATGAGTGGTTGTTAAAGCTGGAGAGGGAATTTTTATGAGGAATAAGACATGTACATAGTCCAAAAGATTTCCTCCGCAAATTACCTATTGATAACAAAGCGAGAAATGATAACTTCACAGTAGAGAAACTGCCCTTTAACCGAGTGATCAAGGTTAATAGTAGCTTTGCGCAGTGGCAGTATCGTAGCCAATGAGGTTTATCCGAGGCGCAATTATTGCTAATTGAAAACTTTTTCCCAAGGTTAATAGTACATGTGTGGGACTTACTGATAAACGGTACCTCCTGGTGTGATGCATTAAAGTGAAGCAAAACTCACTCAGTTGTGTCCAACTCTTTGTAACCGTGGACTATACCGTCCATGGAATTCTCAAGGCCAAAATGCTGGAGTGGGTAACCTATCCCTTCTCCAGGGGATCTTCCCGACCCAGAAATTGAACTGGGGTCTCCTGCATTGCAGGTGGATTCTTTACCAACTGAACTATCAGGGAAGCCCATGATGCATTAAGGAGGATACAATATTATTTCTGCCCCAGATGCATAATGGTGAGTCTCATCATTCAGAAGTATTAGGCAGACCTCAACTGAGGGATATTCCATGGAATAGCTGACTTAGAGCCTTCAAAAACATCAGTATCCTCAAAGACAGAAGCCAAGAAATTAACTGTTCCACATTAATGAAGACTAAAAACTAAAGACTCAAATACATGAAAATAAAATGCCTTGTGTTATCTTAGTGTTATCTTAGGTCAGATCCTGGATCAGGAACACAAAAGTTGCTATATAAGACTTTATTTGGACAGCTGGTAACATTTGTCTATAGATTAGATAATTATATTTTATCAGTGTTAAATTTCCTGATTTTGGATCATTGTACTGTGATTATACAAGTGGATGTCTCTGCTCTTAGGAAACAGATCCTGAAGGATATTTTATGACTTATTTTTAAAAGGTTTTTTTTTTAAATTTTTATTTTTTAAAAGGTTTAGAGAGAGAGAGAGAGAGAGAAAGCAATAAAGTGGATTGGGCAAAGTGTTAAGAGTTGGTAAATCTGGGTGAAGGCTATGCAGGTGTTCTGTGCCATCCTTACACATTTTAAATTTGCAATTAATTCAGAATAAAACATGTATATTTGTACCTTTCAGTGTATCTTGTCTATGCCAGAATTCTTATTACACTGGAATGTATAAAACTAACCATTAAAAAGGCTTAACCTTGCCTCTCCTGAAGAGTCAATCAGTGAATGCTAGGCAGGCATGTTCAAGTAGCCTTGAAGAGTTTCAAAACAGACCTGTCAGCTCTTCTCAACGTAGTTCGTGTCAGGATGATGAATGTGTGAGGGCAGTCAAGATAAGCTTCCTGAGGAGTATACTTTGAGTAACAGTCCTTTTTTAAATTTTTTTTTTTAAATTTTAAAGCATTATCAGTCTTTTCTTTCACGTTCTGAGCCTCTGAACCTATATCATTAGTTTTCCGTATCTATATTAATTGATAGGAGCTATTCATGTTTGGGCTTCCCTGGTGGCTGAGTGGCAAAGAATCCACCTGCACTGAAGGAGACACAAGAGACACAGGTTCGATCCCTGAGTCGGGAAGATCCCCTGGAGGAGGGCATGACAGCGCACTCCAGTACTCTTACCTGGAGAATCCCATGGACAGAGGAGCCTGGTGGGCTACGGTTCACAGGGTCGGACACGACTGAAGTGACTGAGCACCCATTCATGTTCACACTGGCAAATCTTTAATTCAGCCAGTCTTTAAGTACTTGTCACATGGGAGGAATATATATGGAATTATAAAGGACATGCTTCAAACTACGTTCTTGGTTACTTTTTCCTTCTTTCCTCTATTTCACATTGTGGGAGTCATCTCTCTCTCTCTTCTTTGAATCAAAAACGTCTATCAATTCTTTTACTTAATAACTTGTGCTCAGATTTTGCTGAGACTCTGAACACCTGCAATAGTGCTGAGGACTCCACCATGTTTCTCTGCACCTCCTGCTTTCTGGTATAACGGGATGTTCCAGACTCAACTTTTGCAAACTCTGGAATCAGCCATTTCTCTTGGCTCCTTTTAATTAGGATTGATGTTTAGAAACCAAGATCTGGACAAGTTGATTCTTGAGTATTCGGTCTGCTGTATGGCTTGTCACGTGTGTTCACCACATGTATTTTTAGCCTTTTAGAGTGAGTGGAGAGAGCCCCCAAGAACACAGTATGTAAATTTTATTGCCTTTAGTGGCTCACTGTTCAGAAGACCTTTTTTCTCCATCTTCAACATTCCTGTGCTTTTTGAGAAGGAGATTACAGACCTTGGTTGTAAAGGAAGCAGATGACTCTGTGTGTTATGTGTGAGGACATAAAGTTGAATGTTGATAGGAATATATACCTACTACGGGTATGTAGTTTTTCATCTTTCTTAGAATCATATCAAAGGGACATCAACTTTTATATACATATTTATATTTTTCACTCACAATTTCCATTATAGCTTTTGTTAGTTTTGGCAACATTTTTCAGATCAAATTTGACTTCAGGTGGAATTTTGAATTTAAAAATCTTTAGCATATCTATTAGCATGAAAGCAAAATATGCTATTTTAATAAATTAAATTGGAAAAAAGGTCTTAGAGCTTGCCAATTGAAGAATTTAGCTGGGTAAAAAATATGTATATGTACAAATATACATGTAGAAACTTGGGTGAATTTGGTTAAGGAAAACAGACATGCAAGGGGAAGAGGCAGGGCGTGTGCTGAGTAACAGTGAGTCCCACAGACAGTTGGATCAGAGCACTTGTAAAGGGAAGGAGACAAAAAGAAAAGGATAAATAATAAGGACCTACTGTCTGGCACACGGAGCTATATCACGTATTTTGTAATAACCATAATGGAAGATAATCTGAGAAAGAATATATATGTGTGTATATATAAAACGAAATGACTTTGCCATACACCTGAAATGAATACAACATTAAAAGTCAATGATACTTCAATAAAAAGTTGCTTTGAAAAAAGGGGGGGAAGGTTTGCGCCAGATGGTAGAAACTTTGAATGCAGTGCTAAAAATTCAGGTTATTTTCTCGGAATTCACAATAAAATCATTGTGAGTAAAATAATGTCCTTTAGTGATGCTGAGAAAGGGGACATGGCATCGCCAGACCCAAGGTGGGTCTGTTCCTCTCAAGGAATGAATTTGTATTTGAATCATGAATTCCTGTTTCCAAGGGGATGCATGTAATTACATGTGGCAATTCAGACAGCCTGGGAAGTGTTCGTGTTTTGTTTTCTTAAATCCATCCATTTAGTATTTATTTCTTGTTTACAACTCTACTTTGAACCTTATTTTAGGAGAATGTGGCTAATAAAAATAAGGTATTTATTTACTTTTCTATCTAGGTAATGAAGCATATATGCATGTACTTTGGAGGAAGTGGAGCAGATGAACTGGGATTTATCAAGGGCCTTGTATACCTCCCAGTATGTATGTAGCTTTGTTCATGCTATCCCGGTCAGTCCTTGCAAACAGCTCTTACAAACAGGTAGTGATTACCTTCTTTTATTGGAGGAAATTGAGGTTTCAAGGGGTCACGTCCAAGTGACATTGCTAGTAATTGTCAAGGGGGAAATCCAAACATGGGTCTCTCTCCATGTATGAGAATTGCCCGTCATTCACAGCGTTGTTCTTTAAGCTCTCATAAATCTCCAGTGAAGGGATGGTTCTGCTCTTCATATATAGAAGCTTAAGGCCAGAAGTAAAACATGGTGTGGATGGAGAGGTTACAAGTGATAGTTGCTGGCGTGCAAAAATAAGAGCAGAAAATGGGCCAAGAGGAGGATTCCTTCTAGCCAGGCAGAAATGTCTGCTAGAATATGTAGGAAAGAACTGCAGAGTCATAGGACTGGAGTGAACGTGAGCCCGCGGGAAGATGAGAGGCAGTGATTTTATCAGAAGTGAGTCATCTGACAGCTCTAATCACAATCACCCCCTTTATTATAGCTTAGGTCAGCCATGTGCCTATTTCAAGAAGAGATAGAATCCAGGCAAATGAAACATACCTAAAGATTCCAGCCCATAGATTGTAATTGTCCTGGCAAGAAAATGAGCTTCAGATTTGACGGCTCGGCAGTGGGGGTGGTGGTCCTATTAGAAGTGCTTACCTGTCTGTATTTTCCTTCTACGGCACTATTTTCCAAACTTCCACTAATTCCAGGAGGGGGAAGAAAGGGAAAGTATGCCTCCAGTGATCTTGAGGCTTCAGCTTAAGAGATCAGGAGTTTTTTTTTTTTTTTTTGAAATCTCCTGTTTCATCTTTAGGCAGTCTTCATTTCCATATCTGCTCAATTGAAATCCATTATTTTATTGGCTAAACATTTCCTTACCCCCATCCTAAATCACTCAGTAGAAGTGACCGTCTGGGAAGATGTGCTTGTTCCACTGGCTTGGCATCTCCCGCCCCCTCGCAGGGTGGGTGCCCAGTGTGAGAAGGATGGTCTCCTGGGGTTTGAGCGTCCGAAGTGGCTTCACAGGTAGCACACGGGGCAGCCACACCCCTGTTGACTCCCCACGCCGTGACTCCCTCACTTCTTGTCCCTCTGTCCACTCAGGTGGGGAGTCCCCATTTATCACACCATCATGGTCTCTTTCTTTCACTTGATTGGCATGAGTTTATTTTAAGGGCTTCATCTCTTGATGTGTCCAATTGCTTTATTTTTGGAATGTCTTTTTTATGTCTTGCTAGAGGAACATAACCAAATACCTAACTGAGTCTTGCAGGTACCTATTTTAGCCTCAGCCTGGGTTGTTTGTGGCCAGTCTCTCGGCACTGCATCAGCATGAAGGCCCAGCTATATGTGTGTGGAGCTGGGGGTAAGATGGGGGACAAATTGTCATCTCTGTCTCTTGGATGGGAAGAAACAATCTCAGGCCCCCATGTACAAAACCTGATTTCAGGTTGTGAAGGAGTGCCAGCTTTATGATTGTTATACATATTATATTTTCTAGTCACTCCTGGTTGATTTCCAGTTTTTGTTACAGCCTTGACAAGAGTTCAGTGCTTTTGGGTAATTTGAAAGCAGCAAGGATTTCCTTTCTAAAGTATTTTTATACCTAAATATTATATAAAAAGGATTATTGCTGATTTACTGATACTAAAGACTTGGTTCACGTTAAGCCCTTGGGTCCTTTATTGAGGGCATCATTTGTGTCCAACTGGTTTTCTTCTGAAACCCTTTTGTCCACCTTGAAATGGTCTCATCTCGCTTAATTCCGTGTTTTCCCACGGGAAACTGTCCCTCTGCAGAACTATCTTTTGTACCAAATGCAATTGCATTCCTGTCTTTTGAATGACATTCGCTACAAAAATAACTCTTCACATAGGCCTTGCAGATTTCTAATTTTTTTCCTAAAACTAACGGGTCTTTGTGTCTTCAGAATTATTCTATGAGATGGACGATTTGGGGATTGTTATTACCCATTTTATGAATGAAAAAAGAAGATACTGGTGGCTGTGATTTGCAACTTAGTGCAAAGACTCAGGTCTCTGGGGTTTCATCTGGTGAAACATTCTGCTTCAGTACCCTAGTTTCTAGAAACATTTTCTGAAAGTCTTCCAATTTTCCTGAAAGTGGGAAGAATTTGTTATGTAGATTGAGTTATCTGCAGAGAAGAGAGCTCTAAAATATATTTCAGGTTTTTTTTTTTAAGTTTTAAAATCAGGGAGGAAAAAAAGAGTTTTCTGAATTTCCAAGTAGGACTGGTTCCTACATTAGAGAGATTAAAGATGTTTACTTCCTGTGAAAAAAGAGGACTGAATCAGAGAAGATAGTCAGTGAGTAAGTGTTCATTTTTCTCTATTTCTGGGAATAGTATTTTACCCCCCTTTATTGAAATATTGTGAGAAGGTCATGGGTGGGAGATTCACACTTTGTGGTTCCTGGTAGGAATTTCTATGTCCACGAGACTCAAAAGTAGTATTAGAGTTCCTTTAGCTATGTTAACCGTTTTAAAAAATCTGATAGAAATGGTGCATTTCCATGAGGTAAAGCAATGAATCTTGAGATGTCAAGCTTCTTTACTTTGGGGTGGAATTTAATGAACCTGATTAGAAGCCATGTTTGGCAACATATGGATATGACCAATTAATTATTGTTGAGAATTGTCATTTGTAGACAAAGAGTCCATCAGGAGAGAAAATATTCAAGTGGCTGGTCTCTACGGCTTCTTAGAATGGGAGTCTGAGGTCTGTGCTGCAGTGACGGAGGCTGTCCACCAGGTGGCACCAAGGATTTGCCTAACTGCTCCCAGCTAGTTAATGCCTGGAACACCTGAGCCCATTTAAACTTCTCCCTGCTGCCCGCTCCCCGCCAACCCCACCACGCCCCAGCTGTAAACCTTGGCGCCGCTGCTGCCGCGCCCTGCGTTCTGGTTCCTGACTTCCTCTGCACCCACCCCCCAGCGCAGGCACTGATGCTCTGTATTGACATCTCACCACATTCCACCTGCAGTGGGAACTGTGGCTGTTGAAGTCTCCCCCCATGGACGCTTCTTGAGAGCAGCCCGAGCTGTGTTTACTTTCAGCTCCTATTACCTATTCCTTTAGTATTTCCTGCAGTGCCGGGCACAGCGCCTCTGAGTTGCATTCTTGACTGAGCATCTCTGGTGATCCGTGGGCTGGTTGTGTCCTCCATCGGGTTCACTGCGGTGTGTGTGCTGGTCTGTGGGGAACACGCATCAGTGACTTGTTGGAGGGGGTTATGAAGGTTGTGCAGTTCCGTAAACCTTACTCTAAGCCGCACCCTGACCAACCGCCTGTACTGATTCCAGGACGGCTCATCACAGAGCTCGCTGCTTCGGGCGGGTCTTCCCCGCGCCCTGTGGTGGGTCATGGCGGGGCCTCCCTGCGTGTAAGCAGACGGCCTCAGGGCTGTGGGGCTGTGCGTGTGGGTGGGAGCTGGGGAAGGCAGAAGCGAATCCTCCCCAGCTCTCGTCCCTCTGTCTTAGCTGGGCTCCCGGGGTTTTGGTCGGGAAGGGCGGGCCTGGGAGGACAGGAGCTCCACGCTCCTGTTGTGGGGTTGTGTCATTTTATTGGAGGCCATTAAGGAAACGGATGTTCACGTTTTCTTCTTCAGAAAACAGATAATGGCTCTTAGGCCAATTGGAAGGAAATTTGAACAGGTTTCATAACAGTGTTATTTCATTATTACAGCCAGCCTACACAGGCGACCAAGATGTTTCCAGGCCCGACCGTGGCTCTGGCTGCTTCGTTGTGTGGACACCTTTCCAAAGTGTTAGATTTGACGACACGTTCAGGAGTTGTGTGTTTGATGGCAGACCCGAGTGTGCAGAGCTCTGAGCAGATGGCGTTTACATTTACCTAATGTAATTTTACAAATGAGCCGCAGTCTAGGTCACACTGCAGATAGCCATCCTGATGTGGTGTGTCTGGCTGCTTCTTGAAAGGCTATTTGTTTAGCTCCCTAGTGAATTTGATAAACTAAGGCCGTATTTTTATTTTTAGTGATGGGAGTTCCCAAGCTGGCAGTTTTGACCTTTGAATGTTTAGAGCACCAGAAGTTCTGACTGTGAGACAAAGAGAAGGTGCTAGCTTTTCTTGTCCATTGAAAAACCCAGGGGACTTACCTGGCAGTCCAGTGGCTAAGACTGTTGCTTCCAGTGCTGGGGGCACAGGTTTGATCCCTGATCATGGATCCCACATGCCTCATAGTGTGGCAAAAACAAAAACAAAAAAACCACCCCAGGACTCACTCCTGGCATTCTTTGTCCTACAAGCAGAGCAGATGATGGGCCCCCTTCTCTTTGGGGTGACCTTACTTTAAAGACAATAAGAATCTATGTGTTAATGCTCATCTTCTCTGGGAATCTGTGTTTTGGTTTCTTATTACCTTTGGCAGGTGAATTTAAATCCGTTGGGATGCATGTCCCTTCGGATGGATCGTACAGGAAGGTGTTATGTTTTCTGTCTCCAAATCATGTATTTATTCAGCCTTCTTGAAACCCAATATTGTGTTTTCTGTACTTAGGACGTGAGTTGGTCTGATGCCTCTGTGCGTTATCCTGGCCACACGTGTTGTGTGTTTCTCTCTCTCTCGGTCCTCCTCTCGTGGACCCCTGTTTCTCCCCTTCTGTCATGAAGACGCCCCAGCACCTACGTTTTCTGCTCACCTAGTGGGTCGTGTATACAAAGCTCAGTGCTTTCCATGTATTATCCTGATACTACCCTCCGAGGGAGATGGCACTGTCCTCGTTTTACCCACGAGGAAGCTGAGGCTTGGAGAGCTTAAGTGTTTTGCCCAAAGTTCGTCTTCCCAAAGAAGTAATCCACAAGGAAAGAGGCACCCAACACGGGGTACGTTAAAGTCTTCCCCGACATAGAGGCTTTGGGCTCAGAAAGACATACTTCCATGGGTGTCTGTGACCCTGGGGCCCGCTTGGTAAGAGGGTCTGCTTTCTTGTCTGCCATCCAGCCAAAGAGACTTGAATGTTCTCCTTAGTTCTTTGGGAAGAAACAGTCACAGGGGGACTTTCCTGGTGGTCCAGTGATTAAGAATCTGCCTGCCAGTGAAGGGGACGTGGGTTCGATCCCTGGTCCAGGAGGATTCCGCAGACCTAGGAGCAGCTAAGCCTGGGAGCCACAACTATTGGGCCCACATGCTGCAGCTACTGTGCCTGTGCGGCTAGAGCCCGCGGCCACAGCAAGAGACGCCTGCGCACCGCAAATGGGAGTGGCCCCCACTTGCTCCAGCTGGAGAGAGCCCGCCCAGCAACATAGACCCAGTGCAGGAAAAAATAAATTAAAAAAAAAAAAAGAAACGTGAGAGGAAGGTGAGAGGTCAGTGCTTCCTGGGGTTGATCAGAGTCCCTACTTGCCTTCAGAAGCGCGGCTTTTCTAGTGACTGGCTGGACTGGCTGGTGCCAAATTCCTGTGTGTCGCTTGCTTTCCAGATGGGCCTTTTGTTCCAGACGCTGAGGAACCTAAGAAGGGTCTGTGCCCGCAGAGTCACCAGCTCTCACCCTATGCCTGTCTGTCTACCTGGATGGCGCAGGACGGCTGGTTGGGCCAAGACCCCAAAACTGTTAGCTCTGAGGGAAGCAGTGGCTGTGTTTCTCAGCCAGCTCTCTAGTTTGGGTTTCCGTGGAATCCTTTCATGGGCTGTCATCAGGGTAGGAAGTAAAAATATCTTAAAATAGGATATGGGGTATAGAACTTGTCTATGTCCCATCACTGCTGTCGTTCCAAGTGGTATTACCAGAACAATTGTCATGGTGTTTTGTGTTTGTCTCTAACAGAAATGCCATGGCTTGAGATAAAGTTAAGATGGTCACGACTGGCCTGATTCTGCCAATCGTTAACAAAGAAGGAAGTTGGTGGGGTCAGAACACCGCAGCCTGATTATAATGGCCTCTCTTATCACACTGTTCCCCATTAGCTTGTGCCAGTCTTTTTCTTCTCAGGGAGAAACAGCCGAAATGTCACTGTGACCAAAAAAACCCAAAAACCAAACTCCAAAAAACACCTGTTACTCTCTCTCCTTGTTGGAGAGGGGACAGAGGGGCCTGGGTGTTTCTCCAGGAGCCTGAGGGTGGCTCTGGGGGGGGGAGGTCTTACCGCCCGTCTTCAGAGGTGAGCCCCTGTCTGCCGTCCCCTGAGCCTGTCACTGTGTGGTCCCCTGACCTGAATTTCCAGCAAATATGGGGTTATTCCCATACTATTTCCACTCCTGAATCTCCACCTGGATGGTCGAGAATCTTGATTTTTAGATCAGTAAATTACAGAGTCTTTTTTAAAAGATTTTTTTTTTCTGATGTGGTCCATTTTTAGTCTTTTTTGAATTTGTTAGAATATTGTTTCTGTTTTCTGTTTTAGTTTTTTGGCCACGAGGCATGTGGACTCTTAGCTCCTAACCAGGGATTGAACACACACTCGCTGCCTTGGAAGGCGACTTCTTAACCACTGGGTCACCGGGGAAGTTGGTAAAGAGTCTTAACATGTTTTCAGTTCCTGTAAAAATGCTACGTGGTCATTGTGAAAAATAGAGATAACTACTTATAATTAAAAAAAATGCAATCTCCCAATCCTCATTTTTATATGTAAAAGCTTTGGTGGTGTATGACAGGTGATGCTTGAATTTTTATCTCAGCACTTCTGTTAAGGGTCAGAGGGTAAAGAATCTGCCTGCAATATAGAAGACCCAGGTTCAATCCCTGGGTCCGGAAGATCCCTGGAGTAGGAAATGGCAACCCACTCCAGTATTCTTGCCTGGAGAATCCCATGGATAGAGGAGCCTGATGAACGACGGTCCATGGAGTCACAGAGTTGGACACAACTGAACTAACACCAAGACAGACTTTAAAACGTAAGTACTGGGTAGAGCTCAGGACTTTGCTCTGAATCAGATCACTTCCGCCTGCCCCGTGGGAACAGCTGAGAACTGGGGCTCACCCGCAGCAGAGCCCCAGGCCAGGTGTATCCCCCTCACCACTGCCCTGAGCTGATCACCGTCCAGCCCTCCTCGGCTCCTGTGAGTTTTTGGGCTCCTGTACCTGGGACTCTGCCTTCCGCCCGATACACCCAGGGAGCCCCTGGTGTGCTGGGGGAGAAGGAGCAGGCTGGGGTCGCTGCTGCTGAGAGACCCCCTGGGGGTGAGGGACCCACTCCCTAATCTCTCTCCACTCACAGTGACATCTTTATTTCGAGGCTTCAGGCTCTTTGGTCTGTGGACTGAGACTGTTTCACCAGTATCGGGGGTGACAAGGGGGGCCTTACGCCCGCGGCCAAGGTCGAGTGGGCGTGCGAGCCCCTTAAATGCCTGCCAGCGCCTCGGGCCTCGGCCTCGGCCTCACGCTGCAAACCTCGGCCCCTCCTTCAGGACGCAGACTGGAGCCCAGCAGGACAGGCCGAGTCTGACCGTGAGGGAGCTTCCCGCGGCCGGGCTCAGCCTGCAGCCCTGCCCTAGGAGAGGCCGTGAGTGTCCCGCGTGCTCCCTGCCCTCATCCCCGTGAGCCCGCGTCTGTCGCTGGTGTCGGCGTGGCGCGTCTCGGGTTTCCCATCAGCAGCCTGTCCCGACCAGGGCCTGCTGTGTGTTCCCTGCTCATCCCACGTCCACCGTGTCTGCCCTTCCCCTTTATGGGCCCTCAGTCTCCTTGATGGGTTCTCTGATTCATTCTGGGGGAGCTGGTGAGGGCTGGCCTCACGTCAGCCGTGGGACCCCCGCCCTTGCCTGTCTCCATGCCCAGCCTCTCCATCTGGCCTGCTGGGCTGGTTGTCGTCATGGAGACCACCTGTCACGGGATACCATAGGAGCCCACCTCCAGGGACCGACCCTTAGGTCCGAGGGCAGACCGGATGCCCTGCACTCTGTATAATTTGAGGCAGGGGAGATGGGCTAGTTGGATGGGCTTTTCTTCTGTGTTCATGAGTTGACAGTTCGGCCAAGGGCCAGTCTACCCTGAGCGCACAGCACCTCTAGGGATCACTGTGATGTAACGCCACGCTGCCGGGACCCGGCCCCGACGCGGAGCCTCAGTCGGCAGGCCTGTGGGACGGGAGGGATCCTGTTGTCCATCCTGTTGTCCAATGCACCTCGTGTTTGGCTCACATCAGAGTAGCCTAGGAGGCTTAGCTTTTCCTCCCAGGTTTATTTTGAATAATTTCAAGCCTTCAGAAAAGTTGAAAGTGCATCGAAAGCCCTCTCCCTCAATATTGCATCTCGTTTGTGTTCTTTTCTTGAACCACTTAAAATTAACTCATTGTCTAAAAGAAAGTAAGTTGTAGGCACAGTGCTTCACTTTTGTTGTTGCTTTTTATTTTTTAATTGAAGTATAGTTGATTTACAATGTTGTGTTAATTTCTGCTGTATGGCAAAGT